GCACGGGGCGGGCGCAGCGCGGAGTGAAGGGGGTTTGGACCTAGGCGGGCGGGCGCCGGACGCTAGCCCTCGCGGATCCGATCTCGCGCCTAGGAGGCTGAAGGGCGACGTGGTGCTGCCGGTGTTGCGAAAAGGAGGGCCGAACCCTAGTGATGGTCCGGATGCCGGGTCCGGACCAGGTTCGGAGGGTTTTTCCCTCTCTGGATGCTCTCTGGACTCCTTCGGACCCTGAGTAAAGTGGGTCCGGTTCTAGGGTCTGGTACTACGCAGTTTGATGCGAATTTTAGTTACCGTTGGAATCTAACGAACGCGGTTGAACGTATGGACACGTGGCGGGATCTAGGGGTCCGGACCTTCACTGTAGATGGTCCGGAACCATGGTCCGAAGCCTGAGTCCGGACCTCCCCGAGGGCATAATGGCTATAACTTTTTGGGGGCTCTATAAGTAGAGCTTGGCCGTGTTTGGCTCTCTCTCTTGGTCATTCTTACATGTGATAGCATCCTTTGAGCTAAACCAAACCTCTCCCACTCATTCTCTTGCTTGGTTGTGCATCCTAAGTGAGTTGGGAGGTGATCCAGAGTGCATTTGTTTGAGTGATTGCATCTAGTGGCACTTGGGGATCAATTTGCTGCGGTTTTCTTGTTACTCTTGGTGTTTGGCGACGCCTAGATGGCTTGGAGCAGCGGAGGAGTATTGGTAGGAGTTGGTGATTGTTCTTGGACACCTCCCGGTGATTGTGAGGGGTTCTTATGCCTTCCCTGGCGGAGTGCCAATGGCAACTCTAGTAGATTGCGCGTGGCTTGTGTGATTCTCATCTTGTGTTGGTTGTGCAGCACCCGGTAGCGGGTTAGGCGTGTGATGCCTATTAACGCGTGAACCTCCAAGTGGGTGAATCACCACAACGGGGACTAGCTTGTCGGCAAGCAAGTGAACCTCGGAGGAAAAATCTTATGTCATCTTGACTCCGTGGAATTCATTGATATATATTGTGATTGATCTCTTGTTGGTTCGGTATAATCCCTCTACCACTCTTGTACTTACATTCATACATAACTTGTGTAGCATAGAAGTAATTAGTTGAATTACTTGTTTAGCTTGCTCTCTAGCCTAGGTAATCAGTGAATTAGCCTTTGTGTGATTTATACAGATCATAGCATACTAGATTTGTGGATAGGAGGCTTGCAACACTTGTAGAGCTAACGCAAAATTCGATTTGCCATTTAATTGACTAACAAGTTATCTTAGTGTTGTTGTAGAAATTTTTATAGACTATTCACTCCCTCTAGCCATTTAGGATTTTTCAAATGGTGTTTGGGCAAAACTTCAAACAGCTTCCGAGCAAGCACTGCAGAAACCACCTTCAAACTTCAGCGAGCGGCAGGCATGGGCGTCGTGGGCACATGCAAGGCAGGCTGATGGATGGGGCGTCACTGCCAGAGAAACCAGCAGCGGATTTCGAAGGTGGCTGCCGGGCCGGAGTGGCCACCGGCGCTAGTGTAAGGGCGGGAGGTCGCGGCTGCTCGGGGTCTGGACAGTGGTTGTGCCAATGGGGAGTGTTTTGCTGGGGGATTATGAAGCAAAGCTAGCTAATGAGCTAGGCGGCGGAGAGGAGGATGGAGAGCAGTAGAGATTGCTCATCATCAAGGACTTTAGGTGACTTGGTAGTTGAGGACCGACTCCTCGTGCTGGCAGGATAATTCTTTCAACGTTGCAGAGCGCTGCCATATTGCTCTGTTTGGAGTTGCTTCTAAGGTGATTCTGGTAAAAAAATAAAAGCAAAGCAACCACCCAAATGCCACGCTTTCGAGCCAGATTTTCCTTTTCGTGATTTCCCCGCACCATTTCAATTCTAATTTCTACTCGTGTACAGATGAAGAAAGGATGAAAGTGCCCTGCATAGAAAAAGAATATTCTTAGAATCTAAGGTTTGGGTTTCCCTGCAGCCACCTGCAAGAAAGAGTTAGTTGTTGTTCTGCTAAACACAACATCATTTCTACACAACCACACTGTCCAGCACATTACTGTGAACCCCACTATTATTTGATTTTCTTAGACTTGGATGAAAGCTCCTTAGCCAAGGACCAAACAGGTGGACTATATCTTTTTGTGGTTTAAGGTTAAACATGATGAACAAAGAGTTCCACACCCCCTTAGAACTATGACACTCAAAAAAGAGATGTTGTATAATTTTCTCCATGTCACAAAAGTTGCACTTAGTTTCCCCTTTCCAACCTCTTTTTAGCAAATTATCTTTTGTTAAGACTACCCCTCTCTTTAAATATGAAAGAAAGATCTTAATTTTTAAAGGTAACCTAGTCTTCCAAAATAAAATCTTTCCTGAAATTCTATCCCTCCTCATAATATCTTTATACAAAGACTGAGTAAAAAAAAGACCATTTTTACTTAACCGCGAAACAGAAACATATTCATTCTCATTTTATTTGGTTGCTAGCACTAGAGAAACTAGGCTAATCCAGTCCCTTAACTTGTCCCCTATTAGTGCCCTCCTAAACAAAATATTAAGAGGAGTTGTACTTAGTACATTCGCGACCAAAACATTCTTCCCTCTCGCTATTCTATACAAATATGGGAAATTTAAACTAAAAGGTTCTTGACCTATCCACTTCTGAAAACCTCTTGCCAAAGGTCATCTTCATTCAATAGCTTAAATAGCCATTTGTTGAGGAGACACAAATTTTGGACCTCAGGTTTAAGATGCCTAAATCCCTCATACACTTTGGTTTACAAAGGGTATCCCACCTAACAAGTCTGTATTTCTTCTTATGCTCCTTACTCTGCCAAAAAATCTTGATAATTGAACTTGAGATCTATCGACTTAGTCTTTCAGGTATACCCACTTAGTCTTTCTTAGTCTTTCAGGTATACCCATAGAAGTACGTAAGGTATGTGCATCTATATTATATGATTAAAAAATGATGGTACATGTCTTTTTTTACCCTTTCCCCTTCTTTCCTCCACATACTATACTCGCCATGATTCTGATTTCTGAACACCGAGGCATGCTGCATTGGAATGACGGAACTATGGAGAAATCATTTTCTGCGAGGTATAGTACAGCAGTACGGAGTGTTTTGTTGACATCCACTTGTTGGGGTTGTTGCTCTCTCATTCAGCGCATATATCTTCAGCGCATATGTAGTTAGAAAAGCTAGAAAACTTGCAAAATCTCATTCTCATCTTGAAGGAGCACAAGACGACCTTCGTGATGAAGCAAGCATCCCAGAGAGAGAGAGAGAGAGAGAGAGAGAGACATACCTGTTGAAGAAGAAACGTCTGCGGATCACGTCAGCGCAGGAGATCCGAACTTGCTGCCGCTGAACGCTGAACGGGCACACACATTTGACAGCGGACTTTAGGATTAGCAGATGATCATTCGCATTCCGGACTCCGGAGGAAGGAAACGCGTGTTTCGCCGGTCGCCGGTCGCCGCTGACTCAGCTCGCAATGAGTGATGACCCACCATTAAACCTCTCCGGAACGCGGTTTCTTCCGTAGAGAAGGACCAGCGTTGGTTTGCAAACCGTCTTTTCTTACTATCATAGTATAATTGTGCCCGAATAAAGGATGTTTGGGACTACTCCATAAACTCTATTCTACAAACTTTACCACGAAGCAGCTCCACAAAAAACTGGTATTTGTGGAACAATCATAACTCCACCATTTTTCGTCAAACAGAGTACGTAGAGCTGAAACCGTTTAACTAAAAAAACGTGGAACGGAGCTTAAAAACGTGGCCGCTCCCGTTTTTGCAGCTCCGCTCTAGCTCCGCGTTGCCGAACACCCTCAGCTCTAAGAACTCCGCTCCAAGAAAAAAGTAGAGTTAGGGGCTACCTTCACGTTTTTTCTAGAGCACCTTAAGAAGTACTATAGTTTTTGGAGTTTTGTATTCCCACGTGAAATGAGGGAAAATTACTCACTTTATCACTCATTAATCACTGATTACTTTTGCACTAGTACGGTGGGGGCACGTGACACGTCATGGTGTTCCTGTTGCCGGACCGTGGCAGCTACCCCAGAAAAGAACATTCCATTTCCCCAGATAAAAAGAAAACATTCCATTTCCTATAGAGTACTGAAGTCTTATAAACCACGCTAGAAAATCACCAGATTCTTATTTGACACCTTTGAGAAAATGTGGCTTTTGTCTATTTTTTCGCTTATGTGAAGTCTTCTGGACCCACGCTAGATTAGTAGGAGTGTTAAGTGCATAAATGACATTTTGATTATCTTGACAAAAACATTATCTTGCCTATTTGAATTATGACCTTTGTTTAGTTTTCTTCATTTGTTTTTATTTTAGGAATGAAAGTTCAAAAAATAAGTAACGAAGAAAATCAATGTCAAATAAGGAATTCTCTCTGGGAGTATTGTGCATGCATGACATTGTGATTATCTTGACGGGACATTATCTTGCCTATTTCGAATTATGACCTTTGTTTAGTTTTCTATCATTTGTTTTTATTTTTCTTGAAAAATATCAAGTGCAATTTCAACCGGAGGCATAATAGACCATTTGCATGGAAACAATCCATTTCTGGAGCTGGAGCTAGGCTGTGTGCTAAACAGTCCACCGCTCCACAAACTCCATGATGGAGCTGCTCCATAGTAGAGTTGCTGGAGCGGAGCTATAAAAATGAGAGTGGAGCAATACCAAACACCCCCTAAATAACTCCCCAAAGTATGTGACACAAGTAAGATCTTTTAGACTTGGCCATGTCTACAAATAGTGAAGCCAGAAAAAAAACTAATGATACTAATTAAGAAATATATTGAACTGATCTAATTACACATTACAAATATTAATTTCTCAAGAAGCAAGAATGATATTTATTTTGGGACATGGAAGAAGGGCCAGTCATCCATCGATATAATAAATAATATAAATACTCCACGGCACGGGACACTGCTAACAGGACAGCAAACTCTTCCTCCCCACACTTCGTCTCTTTCTCCAACAACCTACATCTCTCTCACAAGAATGAAGGTACACATGCCATAGCCTCCCTGATTGTTTGCAGCTGCGTACTAGTGTTTCAGTTACTAGGTTCGTTCTAAGTTTCAGCGGAAAGCCCAAATCGCTAACGTTTGTCTGCTTTGCGTGTCCTTGGTGCAGCAAAAGATCGTGATCAAGGTGCAGATGAGCTGCGACAAGTGCCGGTCCAAGGCCATGCCGATGGTGGCGGCCACGGGCGGCGTCGACTCCGTGGCGCTCGACGGCGAAGGCAGGGACAAGGTCGTCGTCATGGGCGAGGGCGTCGACTCCACCAAGCTCACCAGCGCGCTGCGCAAGAAGGTGGGGCGCGCGGACCTCCTGCACGTCAGCGAGGTCAAGAAGGACAACAAGAAACCGCCGCCGGCCGCCGCCGCGGCGCCATCCAACCCGCCACCGCAGCCGCAGCCGGTACCACCACTGCTGCCACCCGGTCGGCTACTGGTGCTACTGCTACGGCTGCTAGACGCGGCAGGACACCACCTGCTCCAGCCTCCATAACGCAGAGACAAGTGGGCAACAACAGACCATGCATACGTACCTACGGATAGGATCCGAGTAGTCCATATTTTAGTTTTTCTACTAGTAATCAACTCTATGCGTGATGCGTTGCGATATGCGGTTGAAATAATGTGCAATTTGTTATGCGGTTATATGAACCAGCTCGTGTCAATAGTAATGATGATCTAACTATATTTGTTACATTTAATATGTTCGGCTTTATTTCAACTAAATTAAATAAATTCAAAGTCCCATAATAAATGCTCAAAGTAATACAAAATTAATCACATTTCAAAAATTGGTTACAAAATGACTCAGCTTATATGGGTAGCTATTTGTGTGCACTCGTTGTGAGGATAAAAAAATGGAAGGTAAAGCCATACACTCGGGCCAGACCTCAAGCGGCCAAGTCAACATTTGTGGTTTGTTGCGTTAACAAAAGGGTTCTCATCTCCAAATTGGTAACTGATGTTTTGTTCGAGTAAGATACATTACCAAGCCTCAAACCACTGTGTCTAAATTACCCACTCCTATTAATGTTAAAATTGGCTAAAGTTAAGATACAATAAAGGTTATTTAAACCTGCATCACACTGCTCAAAATCAGTGGTAGATCTTCAAGTGAGATTTATGATGGGACAGGGGCGTTAATATGAAGAACATGTCATTGATATTAATGTAATTTTAAATAATTTGTTAATATCATTCATATATGATGAGTAGATAGGAGAGGATTTTTCATGAGTGCTAATATGTATATTTAGGCCCTGTTTGGATCCATGAGGCTAAACTTTAGTACAGGGCTAAAGATTAGCCCTTAGAATAAAGGGTTAAAGATTAGCCCATGGAGCTATTTGGATCTAAGGGCTAAATATTAGCCATGTACCCTACAATGACTTATTTATCCCTAATTAATACTCATGCACATGACTAAAAGGGGTGGGTAGGAGTAATTGCGTCTTTTGCCATGAAGGCACTACTATTAGCCCTCTTTAGCCCACCTTGGAGGGGCTAATGAAAAAGGGCTAGGCTAAAGTTTAGCCCTCCTATTTGGATCCATGGGGGATAAAAAGAGGGGGTTAAGTACACTTTACAACCCTGAACTTGCGCCAAAGTATGATTTTCAACCTTCAACTATGAAACCGGTCAAGAAACACCCTCCAACTATCAAAACCGGACAACTTTGGTCCTCGGCCGGTTTCAAAAGCAGTTCACGCCGACAAAAACAATTTTTCGGTGATGGACTCACATTTCAAAAATTTTTAGAAAACCCTTCAAACGTTCTCGGATGAAGATAACTTTATATGTAAATTTAGATCTCGATGAGATCTACAACTTTATAGTAAAAATTTCTCATTTGAGGACCCGTATCCTTAAATTTGAGTCTCATGACAAAATAATGAGATTTTAAATTTAAAAAAATAGAAAACATCTCACTGTCCTCAAATGAAGATAATTTCAAAACTATAAGTTGTAGATCTCTCAATGAGATCTACAATTTTTAAGTTTTATCTTCATCCGACATTTGATGCCAAAAATTTTTTAAAATGAGTGCAAAAGATGATGGAGTAAACTTTTGATAGTTGAGGGTGTTTCTTGACCGGTTTCATAGTTGAAGGTTGAAAATCATACTTTGGCGCAAGTTCAGGGTTGTAAAGTGTACTTTACCCTAAAAAGAGGTGGGCTAAACTTTAGCCCATAGATTCATACAGGACCTTAATGCTCATGCATAAATGTACATGATCTCATGATGCTACAACATGCACATACTACTTAAGAGTACAGCCAACGATGAAAAGTCCTTATCCTTTTTAGTGAAAATACGAAAGGAGGGAGTTAACTAAATATAAAATTGTTTGTTGAAGATACATTAAGCACAAGAGTTTCAATTTAACTTGAGGATAAAAATTATAGAAACTAATTAATAAGATCAGAAATATGAAAATACAGATATATAGATTCATGGCGTCATGAGATGAGACATATATAAGCTTCAACAACAGTCATCGTATATTAAGCTAAGATTTCAACTAAATTTTTATTGAAGTTACGTGGAGGTGCCATTGTAGAGGGGAGAACACTATCCGTATAGTCTTACTGATGAAAAACATGCAGAACAGTAATTGATAAATTTATCAGACTTTAGAAATATTACATATTTATATATGTGAGTTGTGTTAGATAGTAAATACAGAATACAAGCTAAATCTACCACACCTATATACCTAAAGACACACATGCGGCTGAGAGATACTCGAAGATCATCCGACTCCAAGTGTGACGAGCATGATATCTTGACCATCGTGGAACATCTGGGCTTGAGGCTAAAAAAGATGAAAAACCCAGGTGCCAAACCTGTATCGATCGAACCCAGACCGTCAGGGCTCCACTGAGCAACTCCCACAACTGAGCCATCGGCTCGTTCACGGTCTGAACATTGTTGTTAGCACGTACCGACGTACGTTAACTGGAAGCAGAGTTACGGTTGCTGGGCTCTCTTGAATCTCGATCGGTGGCGACGATGCATGTCAAACGTGGGATTTGCATGTGGCAGACAGTCCTCTGCAGTGCACCATCGTGTTGACCAGTGAGCACCGCACCCGAGCTCTCGTCCGTCCAAGCCCCAAGTACTGGAGCAGCTCTGGATCGGAGCAGGCAGCAGAGGTCGGTAGCGACGTGCTAGGGAGTGTCCTCTAGTCGGAGTTTTGGTGTGGGGAGTGTTCGGAACTTCGGACGTCCGAACGTAGAGGCCTTTTGTTTTTTTCAGACAAGGAACAAAACTTTATTTCCGAAGGGAGTGCTCGGACGTCCCGTACGTGGGGTGTGTTCGGACGGTTCGAACATAGAGGTCTTTTTTTTACAAGGAACACAGCTTTGATAATAGAGATATAGAGTTTAAGGGAACAGTTTGCAGTGCAACCTGTACAGGGCACTGATTTACATGTGCCTGATTAGTACAAGTAAAGATGGTTTGGGTAGATTGAGATTGACGTGCTACAAAAGCTGTTGTCAGTGTTGCAGACTATGAATTGGTGAGCGAGTCAGGGGCGAAGCTATATTATGGCATCGGGTCGGCCGACCCGACGACTCGGCGGCCACATCATCACGTACTCTACGATTTTTTACCAGTCCAAACCCCGGCAAAAGAAAACTTCTTGATCCGCATGGAAAATGACTACACTAAAACTTCCTGATCATACTACTGTATAGCTCTTTAACTTTTAATTATGGGAGTATTTTTTAACTTTAACTGTATACTGCATAAAACAAAAGAAGCAGTCTTAATCCCACGCCTAGACCTAGAAATGGATTTAGATCCCTGTCCAGTGAAACCAATCCAAATGAAATCCAGTAAAGGTTACAGTGAAACAAAAGAATACCTATCCAATCCAAACCAATTTGCAGGTTCAAAATATCCAAACCCATGCAGTCCAACACTGTGTAAATCCGATCCAATCCATCCGTCCAAATACTTGTTGCTCCAGTATCTCGGAACACAATGCTAAACCCACAACCCTAACCCTAACAGAATCTGCACCTGATCTCCCGAGTAAATCTGAAAGTAACAAGAGTAAACAAGGAACTGATCCTACAGCTGTCATGCATCAACAAACCTTTGAAAGTTTGCATTTCGTCGCTCGTCGACATTGTTGAATTCGGCTGGGCAGCCTATCATATCCATACAGCATTTATCCAGGGACAGGGGCGGATCTAAAGGGGGCTCCAGCCCCCATACAACTGATACATCGATGAAAATATGGGAAGGGTGAGAGAGAAAAAAGGGGAAAAAAAGAAAAATGAAGAGAGAGGAAGAAGAAGAGACCAGCCTCTCTTCCTTTAATATGTTCTGCATCCGCTGCTGCCAGGGAAATGCAAGGTAACACATCAATGCGCCCTCGTAAGGACGCACCACGCATCGGTCGCTGTGGTCCGCACGTGGAAACAGAAATGATGCCCCCTGGTCAAGTGCTCATGCTCACCGAGTTACCCAATCGACCGAGACTAGAAAGAACGTCAGCGCCGGAAGGCTCCAAAGCCGCGACAGGGCGTGTAAACAAGTGCTGCAAATTGGAGTGGCTCCAGGCGTCCACCCTGACAATTGCTACAGTTAATATTTCTTCTAGATATGATATGACACGCCGTCCTTATCGCAGTAAGTTTTGAATTTTTAAGAAAAATCACAAAGGAACGTAAAAGAAATCGTCCTTTGTTGCAATAAGTTTTAGAATTTAAAAAAAAAAAAGTCCAAATAGATAAGTGCAAGTTTCTTGTCACCGCAGGTGTCGGGCTACATAGGACGACACATTTAGGTCCTATTTGTCGGGCTTCCACCACCTTCGGGGAGTTGTTTGAAGCTACGACACTTTGGTTAATCGCGTTCTCACAATGATTTGGGGTGGGATAGAGCCAAAAAAAAGTACTTCTACCGCCCTCCTCCTGCTCAACCCAGTAGTTTCATTTTATGCTTGCCGCTCCCAAGCCCACGTGAAAGCGCCGGAGGGAAGGGGGACTTTTGGTGAAGCCCTCGCCAAAACGGGGCCTTAATCATGCCAGTTTCAATACAGTACACGTTCGGGCTGCTCAACCTAGCCGAGCATGCTTGCTCCCAAGCCCACGCAAGCGCCCGGGGAGGGGGGACTTTTGGTAGGCCCGATTGTACTGAATCTTCGAGTCTATCAGGGACACATGCAACGGCAAAACCAGCGACAAATATTATTCGTTTGGAATAAGCTTTATTATAAACGATTGTAAATTTTAAATTTGGAATAGTATTTTTTCTCTCACATAAAACCAATCAGTGATTTCTTTACTTTAACCAAAGAACTAAACGAAGCAACCAACCAATCGAGCAGGACTGTATGATGATACTTTTTTTTTGGAGAGGGGCACAGGCCCGTGGGCCACTGGACCTTGGAAAACTTAAAAGGCTGCAATATAGGGCCCAGTAATTCTGGTGCCTTTTCGGCCGAGCAGCTTGCACGTCCTTGTCTACGAGCCTGCTCTTTGGTACAGATCTCTTTGCTACGGCATGCACTTGAGCACATGGAGGTGTACGATTGTACAAGCGGTGCCATGACTCGGCTAGAGTAGTCAAAAACGTCTCATGTGCAGTGCTTCCCACACAACCTCATATATGAAGCGTCGTCGTTTCCTCTGATTATTCTCTTTTCTGCGCCAGGTCAGCACTATCGTTCCCATGATCCGAGGTCGCCGCTGCATAGTGTCTCACCGCTGTTGAAGGGAAAACTGAACTCCAATCCACTGATCAAGCAAGCGCACGATCCAAGCGCACTAGGTAGAAGGCTGCATGTACCACTTACTTTTTCTCGAAGGTCCAGCTCCGCCCACACTGAAACCGATATCGTTCAGGTCGCAAAAATCAACCATCTCACGGAATGTTGCTATATGCGAAACACTTCTCTCTTGGACGCGGACATGTTCCGATCGATGTAAAACTTCATTGAAGTCTCTAATACAAACCCACAGTAAAGGAGATGATGATCTAATAAACTTGAGCATGTCCCAAGTCTTATGACGCTCACTTGGGGTCCCCCGTAAACACACATAATAAGTCTCCAAGGGTCAGCTCCACCCTCCATAACAATAGCATCTATGTGATACTGTGAATATGGTAAAAGTGACACATTAATATTATTATTCCAAAAAAATTCCAAACCAGCACTACGGCCATTACTACTAACTGCAAAAGTGTTATCATAGCATAGTGTCTTCTTTAACCCCTCCACCCGTGATATGTGAACCTGTGTTTCGCGGACGCACAGTACTCTCGCGGCATTGCCAACTCCACGATAGTTCCAGCTTGCCCACCTTATCATCCGTGGTTGTCTTCTTCATCACTTCTTCCTCCCCCAGTACGACCTCATCACGTCCGGCCTCATGAAGGTCCAGAACCTTCGACAGATCTTCCAGGTCACCATCTTCCCTGGACGGCGCCATCACCATCACGTGCTAACACAACAAACCACGATGCCAAGGCCGGGTAGCCGAGCAAGGTCGGCCCCTTGATCAGCCCGAGCAGGACAGGGGGAGGGGGAACGGGTAGTGTCGTGGCCAAAATTCCTCACGACGGTGAAAAACGTCTGCGAAGTCGGAACCCCTAGGGCGGGCGGGCGAGCACTCGAACCAAGAAGTCGCGTTTGGGTTTTGTCGATCCGTGGTCTTGCCCACGCAATTCTTTGTCTGGGCTTCTATTTTCCGTTTGGGCTAGCAGCTTAATGGGCCAGTGTCCACCATGTATTCCGGCCCGTCTGTATTGCCGCCAAGTTTACTCTCCGAACACACTTGTCACAGAGAGTTACGAATTTCAGACAACTTCAACTCCAGCAATTCCACAAGAATATTGAAAACCCAAAAAAGGGGGTGAAAAGGTTGCGCCGTAACGAGGACGAAACCCAAACTGGCAAAGCAACCGAGTCAAGCTGATGCGTCTGATAGTAATTTCAATGAACTAGTAGCAAGTCGGTTCCAAAAGGATCTGCCAAACAAGAAAAAGATCTCGTATGTCACCCGGTAACATAAACAAAACAGAAACAGAATTTTCCAGCTCGGAATCTCCGCATCAGGAACAAATGCCCTTCATGTTGTTGTCGGGAAAATGAGAAGGAAAAGAACCACTGGATGGCCAGACATCATGTCTATTGTCTATGAATCTATGATTGATGCATTATTTATTTGCAGGTGATGATCGGTGAAGCTGGCTTGACTAGACGACACCTTGTTGGCAACCATTTCCGACCGCCACTGGATTTTATTTGTCAAGCCGGTCCGTCACCAGTTCACCACCTGGTCTTGCCAACAATCTTGACTAATGCCACCTGGTGGTCTGTCAAGTCTCCAACCAAACCAGGCGCGATCCCAGCCGTCCACCACGCAAAGCGATTCTCTGCACTTGGCGTCCGACATCGCTCTCAACAATCAAAACGGCAGGTAGCTGCAACCTGCAAGCTGCCCTGTTCCAGTGCAACCATACGGCCTACGGTGGCGTAATACAATGCTAGCGCGCTTACCGCGTATAACATTCTCACAAGCGCGTGTTGGCCGATCCAAATTTTGAAGGCTTCCTTCCTCGTGTGCGGGTGTTTCCTGTCACGGTCTGAACGTTTTCTTTTTCTTTTTCTATCTACTACTGTTTCGTGGGCGGCACTCTGCTTCGATGCAAAGAAAAAGAATCGAGTGAAGGCGGCACGGAGTGCCTAGGCAATTGCACTGCAACTAGCTAATGGGCTTTGGCTTTCGGCATGCGCACACGCGACGCAGTCGCCCTTCTTTTTTTTTTTGGCCGTAGCAGGCAGGCATATAAATAGGAGGGACAGGCACCCCTCTGCTCTCCACAAACCAATCAGCAGCTTGAAAGCATCGCGTGCTCGCTAATCATAAACCCATTCGAACATCAGTCGACAACAACAGCGATACTATTGCTACGTCCGACAGCATGAGGGTAAGCTGACAGTTCCTTCCTGAGTTCCATCATGATCATTGCTAAGGCTGAGAAGGCCTAAGTTTTTTTTTTTTTTGTCGCATCGCGTGCGTGCAGACGGAGATGTTGATCCGGATGGAGGGTGGCTCGGAGAAGGGCCACGCCGCCAAGGCGATGAAGGTGGCGGCGGCGATGCAGGGGGTGGAGTCGGTGACGCTGTCGGGGAAGGACAAGAGCCTGCTGCGGGTGGTCGGCGACGGCGTCGACTGCAACCACCTCACCACCCGCCTGCGCCGCAAGGTGGGCCACGCCGACGTCGTCGAGCTGCGCACCCTGCATGGCGCCGGCGCCGGCAACTACGGATACGGGTCCGGGTCTGGGTCACGGACCGGCAGCCTCTCGCGCGACGCCGGGTACGGGAACGGAGGGAGCTACTACGGCTACGCTTACCCGACGGCTACGGCGGCGCCCGACTACTACGGCCAGCAGCACCAGCCGTCGTTCCAGTACAGCTACCCACCGCCGTACGCCGCGCCCGCCGCCGTGCACTACGAGTACTACCCGTCCGCTACCGACCCCAACGGCTGCTCCATCATGTAGTGATGCACTACTAGTAGTTCAGTTTCGTTTCATAGCGTAGGATGTGCTGCTCGTCTCGTCTGCTCCCCTGCAGATACCAGATATGCTGCCAGTGCTAGCTTGTGCATGCATTTCGTCTCCTCAACCGGACCGGGGCTGGTTTTTAGTTTGTGCCCCGTTTCATCACATATATACTGTGTGTGTGGTGTGTGTTTGGATTCTGTGTCCTGAATCTGAGGTGTGAAATTGAGTTCCTGTTCAATAACACGATGAGTATTATCTTGGATGTGCTCTCTTTTCATCAGTTGCTATATAGTGGGAATATATAACTGAATAAAAGTGTTCAAAAAATAACTGAATGAAGTACTCCCGCGAGAAACAATGGCAAACTACAAATTGCGCCGCTGCACAGGAAACAGAGAGAACAGGGCACGGTCGGCCCATCTAACATTCACACCGCCAGTACCGTACCACAGAAAGGCTCGAACCGACCGCCTCCCCGCCTAAGAAAAAAAAAGAAGCTCACGAACAGGATCCACGCGAGCTTGGATGCGCGTATTTTTCAGCGCATGCGAGCCGGTTTTCCAAGTGGCAAAAAAAAATTGGGTAAAGTTAGGAACCGTTGGAGATGATTTTTTTCCATCTTGCTAAAACTTCTGCTTTAAAAAAAAATACTCCAAAAGCTCCAAGTCGTTCAACGCGCACCACCGTAAAAAAAAACCCCGCACACCACCGTCCAACCAATCAGCTCCGGCTAGATAGCCACGTACTTACTATCAGGGGCGAATCTACAGTGGCTGGGGGCTCCAGCCCCTACAGCTGGTGCATCAATAGAAATATAGAGAGAGTGGGGGAGAAGAAGAGGTGGAGGAAAGAAAAAAAATAGAGAGAGAGAGAGAGGAAGAAGAAGAGATCAACCTCGTGCATCCGTCACTGCTTACTACGACATAATGCTCCTGTGACGCGCGCTTCTGCTGCTGCTGCTGCTGCGTGCGTCCGCCACGGCGACGAGTCTGTTTTGACCGGTGGCCGTCGGCGACGGCATCCACGTATCCGCAGCGAGCACGGTCTGCACGGTGGCCGGTGCTAGCTGTTTCATCTTCCCGAACAACGAAGCAAAACGATCGAGCTAGCACACTTGCCGTGCCTTGTGTGGACGGGGGATCCTTGGCGAAACCACGGAGTAAAGCAGCTAGCAATGCAAACCGGACCCGGACGGTGCGTCGCTCCTGTTCAGTTTTCGGCTCTGGATTGCAACCGTACTGTCCGTCGGCGCGGCTTTGTTGTGCAACGCAACACAGGGCGACGTGTGGATGTGGACTGCCAGGAACGAACCTCGGACCATTTCAGATTCTCATCATCGTCTTCGCTTTTCAGGTAATCTCCCAAACCCATGGCCGGCGCGGCCAGCAAACTATAGTACCCGGCGCAAAGACGAATAATTCTGTTATGCAAGTCCTGAATCGAATCGAAAGGCGGCCTAATGAAAAAAAAGTTTATACATGTAATAAATAAATAAATACCCCATCCGTTTTAAATTATAAGTTGCTTTGTTTTTTTGTTCATCCATTTTGCTACGTATCTAGGCATATTATTTAGGCAGAATAGTTCTTTTGGTCCTTCAACTATTACTCGAGGCTCAATTTCATTTCTAAACTTTCAAAATGGCCGTTTAGGTCCTCAAACTTTAGTTTTAGGCTCAATTTTATCGTACAACTATGAAGATGATCGTTCTAGTCCTTAAATTTTGCATTTTGGGCTCAATTTCATCCATAAACTATCAAAATGCATTTAACTTTTATTTTCAAATCAATTTTGTCTATTCAAAAAGAAAACTTTATATTTTAGGCACAATTTCATTCATAAATTATTAAAATTATAGATATGCTATTATTTCAATATATCCATGTATTCTTAAAGAATAAATAGTGTTCGATGCAACTGTAATTGCTCCTACAAATATCATTTAGTCGGATATATATAAATGGTACCTTTATAAGGTAACACTAAAAATAACAGCTTGAAATTATTAATGACCACAAAAGAGTTTTTTGGATGAATATTATTTTTCTATCTCCAATCGCTGGCGGTGTTGGAGCTAACCATGTGTAATAGTGCAGCGTTCCACGTACAACGTAGATAAAGTTGAGTTGAAAATAAAAGTTTAAAGAGCAAAATACACTTTAATAGTTTATAAATGAAATTGAGCCCAAAATGCAAAGCTTGGGGACTAAAACGATCATCTTCGTAATTCTAGAATGAAATTGAGCCTAAGAGTAGAGTTTGAGGACTAAAATAGTCGTTTTGAAAGTTCATGGGCAAAAATACCCACCTCTACCTTTATGAATAGGTCATTTAAAAAAAATCCTAACTTTCTTTCTAAATCTCCCACATCCATATTTATGAAAGATGTTAAAATAATCATATAAGAGTCTATCAAAATTATAATGCCATTATAAAATATAATATTCCCTCCGTTCCTTAATATAAGCCATATAGTTTTTAGCACCAATATTAACGCACGGCTTGGGGAAGGATGTGAGACCGAGGAAAAAAAAGGAAAATCAGGCCATTTTCTCTCTCCCAATCAGATTGCTTTCTAAATCTAAGGGATTGGTTGGGGCATGTGCTATGTACGGTGAGAAGGTTTCCAAACTAATCAGCGTGGGAGCTGATACGTACCTATATTTTGGAATTTTCTTTAGAAATCTATATGCCTTATATTAAGGATCGGAGGGAGTACAAACTAACCCCTAAGTTTTCATCTAAATTAACTAGGCCTGCTATTGTGAAAGACTATCTAAATTATTCACATCTACCTTTATAAAAGATAAACTAAAACAACCCTCGAATCCACATATAAATAATAATATTATGTGTTATGGAAAATAATTCAATACCATTAAAGTATGGTATATATGTTTCTAAACTACGCACTTCTACCACTGTTTAGTTTAAAATAAACATAATGCTATGTACCACAATGTAGACCTACATTAGGATACATGTTTAGTTTAATAGTTTATCAAGCATGAAAATACATTGTAAATAATACTAATAATCCATGACACTCAATTTTGTATTCTTTACATTAAATAAGTTTATATGTTTTGAATAAAACATTATGTCCTAGGAATGCTAATAATTTAATCTAAGTACTCTATATTTTTATAAAATAGTACTACTACATATATAGTTTTTCGGCATAGCAAATTCAACAATTTTAGTACTTTGATGCAAGCTAAAATGACCCACTATTTGCCATTCTAGTAACTAAGAGTGTGTCTAGGACCTAGAATCTTTTTTAAAATAAAAAAAAAAAAGAATTTTTGGAAAAAAAATACAATAAACACTAGAATTTCAACTAAAATATGGATAAAACATTAGAACAAGTAATAAGATCAAAAGTCAAAGCCAAAATATATATATTTATAACGTCACAAAAACGAATGCAATAACAGTTTACATAACTTAAACTTAGATTTTAACTAAATATATATCCAAGACACAGGTAGGAACAATGCTAAAAATAATAACACATATCTGAATATTACCAACTGGAGGTACACCCAACATAGTCGCCACCCTTAATGCTTACAAGACATGCTACGGAAAAAATACAAATTCTCACAAAGAATCAGAAATATCTAGCCAACAATTTGGTAAATTCTAATCACAGTTGAGAATAGCTAGTAGTCATTATACTATTCTGTTTACTAAATAAATAATCACATCTACCAATATAAAAGCAACATGATGATAGATAACCTATGCCATTACAAATACAATCCAAAGTAATTCCTAAATTTTCATCTAGTTACCATTATGCCATTATGATAGATAACCTAAGTAACTTCTTAAGTTTGCATCTGAACTACCAATATATGCTATTGTAAAAAACTAAATAACCATAAATTAATTACGCATAGAAATGTTTCTAAATTATCCACTTCTAAATTATGCATAAAAGCTGACTAACATAAACATACATATTGATCCAAATCAAGTATACACGCATGCGTAATTATTTATCTTCTAAACACTACAACACGAACACCCCTCTATCAACGAATGCCTAGCAACAGAAATAGGATCTGTTGCTATACGACATATCCCACGTCGCACACCGCGCCTGCTCCCCTAATAACTTCGTCGGCGCAGCCCACGAACGTGGATAGTCCAACTGCCTAGTAGGGTTTATCGTGATTAGGGATTAACTGTGCCTTCATCTACTAGAGGCGATGGCCGCCCGCATACTCCTGGTGTCATCTGCCGATCCACACCATCCTCCTCCTCTCTCCGATTACTTCCTCCTGTGGACAACTTCCTTCCCTCAACCACGTTCTTCAGATCCGATGGCGGTGAGTATGCACAAGGAGGCGATGGGATCTGATGGAGGATATCACAGCCTCTGTCATCTGATCCAACCTAGACCGAGCCTGCATCTCCTTGTGAGTTCGATCATCAGGTATGATCTCTCCCTTCCTCTCAGTTTATCCGAAGATTATTGGTCCTATATTTTTTAATACATCACATTGCAATGCGACAATTTCTGGCACCTACTGTGGACAAGCTGAGAATGGTGGCAGCCATGCCAACCGTAGCTACCTCGTCTCCCATATTGGACTCTGTCAGCAACATGACGTTGTTCCCCTGATCTACAAGGTCACGTCCAATCTCCCCTTTTCTGATTCTTTTTTGTTTATCAGCACAATAATCTGTCCAATCCTCCCCATTCTGATTCTTCTTTTACCAGCACAACAATCTGTCCACTATGTTTTCGATAGAATGCTTCCCAGAGATAAAAAAAAGTTTCACTAATTTTTGTGATATGATTGTATGAATGTGTGATACCCTGGAGATTATCAAACAAGTCATGTTATTAGGGAATCTGAGAAAAAAACCAGTTAAAAGAAATTTACTTGTCTTCCATATATCTGAACTCACTCAATTTTTTTGGTCCCAGTCTTCTTGTTTTGAGGCAACAAACTGGATGGTGCACTTATGGAAAATCCAATATAGGCAAGGTGAATAGCTCAGGAATCATATGATTACCACGTAAAGGTGGGGACAATGGAAGAAAAGGTTTCTGCTATACCATTTTTTGTTAAGTATACCGGTCTTCTTGTTTATGCTATACCATTTTTTGTTAAGTATTAACACCGCTGATTGATATCCCAAGTTGATATTTTTGTACATCACTGTAATTTTGATGGATATGGTGTTTCTAGCTTGTTCGGACTCCTCAATGGATTAGTTCTTCAGTTCTGAAATGAAAGAGTATTTGGTAATAATTCAGTTATGCTTACTAATGGATGATGTTATCTTTTTTGAACTTGTGCAGACAAAGGTAAATCTTCTAAATTTTGTATTGTGATTCTGTGATATACAACTATGTGCTATGAGGAGGTGCTGAAGAATAGATCTAGGAAGGTAAAGGTATCCCTTCTTCAAGTACGTACACAAGTTCTCTGGCTATCTAAAAAATTTCCTGACTTGTTTCTGATGACAAGTAAATCCCATGTATAGGAGATGGATACCCTTGTTCAAGTATGTACAAAAGAACAGATCTAGCACATCCACCAGTTTCAATTTATTTTTGCGTGGCTTTATTGGTTCTAATTTAGCTCAGCTTCTTTTATGTCAGGGTTGTTGTGTCACTGTAGACAAAGGGTATTAATGAAACCTTAATTCTAGAAGAGCTGCCAGGAACAGGTATATATACATTGTGTCGGTGTTTCGAGTAAACACCAACTAGTAAATTTGTATTTATTGCGCGTTGGGCCCGGATGGTGTGCTAAAAGACACAAGGTTTATACTGGTTTGGGCAGAACGTCCCTACGTCCAGTTTGCTGTTGCTCGTGTTATTAGCACTGAAAGGTTCGTAGTAGGGGTACAAACGGTCGAGAGAGGGACATGTCCCAAGTCTCTGATGAAATGGATGAAAGGACGCTGAGAGCTCGGTTGCTGCTCAGCTGTGTGTTATGTGATGCGTGGTGTGTCGAATTGATCCGTCCCCCTAGTGGGGTGTCCTGCCCTCCCTTTTACAGATCAAGTAGGAGCAGGGATTATAGATGGGAGAAAGAAGAAAAACCAGAGGCAAATAAGGTCCTTCGAAGGTGCCGGGTCTTCCTTTTCCTTTGAGCCTGCCCTGCTGGCACGACAGACGGTGTCAAGGATAGCACATTCGGTGATCCTGATAGGGCTATGCTCTGGCTTAGTTCAACAAGTGGCCACGTCCCATCCCACCCTGACGGGCGGCGCGACACACCAGGGTGCCGAGTTGCGACCCTACGAGGAGCAGACGGCGTAGAGGCCCCACGTTCGTTACTGTAGATGACATGAGTTTCCTCCTGGACCATAGTGGTTGTCGTATGTTTCCGTCAGGATTCGTGTCCGAGGGCAAATGCCAGCGCCCATAACACTGTAGGATAAATGTCGACGCCCATAACACTGTTTGGGCTCTGACATGCCTGGAAGGGCTTAAAGCGCCCGTCTTGTCATATCCTGATGGTACTTTCCTGCAGGCGTGCAGGGTATGGTCCTCAGTATTGCGGTTGACTTGAGTACCCCGCCTTATCTGCACGCGTAGTTATGAAGGAGTAGTGCATAGACGTTGGGCGAGGCGGAGCCAGCCCTCGGACGTCGGGCGAGGCGGAGCCAGCCCTCGGACGTCGGGCGAGGAGGAGCCAGCCCTCGGATGTCGGGCGAGGCGAAGCCGGCCCTTAGTCGTCGGGCGAGGCAGAGTCTGCCCCCAGGCGTCGGGCGAGGCGGAGTCTAGCCCTCGGGGGTCGGGCAAGGCGGAGCCAACCTTCGGTCGTTGGGCAAGAAGTGTAGTTGCGCTCTTGTCTGTTCGGAAGCATCAACGTTTGATGATTATTAGCTCCTACTCTTTGGGTACCCCAGTATTAGGTCCCCGACACATTGGCTCAGTTATTTTCCTTCACCAAGATTTGTAAATTCATGGGAAAATCACATATTTTCCTAAACATGTTCTTAGCGAAGCACTCTATATTTTCATGCAGGACGAATATATGATATTTTGGATGTTCAAATGATTGAAGGATCAAGAACAAGATTTCCCCTCAAGATTAGTTGTTTAGGAGTGATGTTAACACTTGTGTACATTTATTTTCAGTATGGAACTTTGTAATTAGTGAATCATTGTATGCAATCAATGTTTTATTAGGCGCTAGGCGGTTTCTAGGCAGTGACCCATCTCCTAGCGCCTAGGCGTGCCTAGGTGTTTTCCAGGAGTTTTGACCTTTTTTTGTATTTCAGCATATATAGCTGAATAGATTATATAAATATAGTAGCCGAGTGAATTTTATAAAAAGAGAAAAAGGTCCAATAGACATACCTTAGTTGATACAAAAGTGATGTTTGTGCTTAGTTCATAGTTGATAGTTGATACAACACAAATGTGATGTTCCTACAACAATACAAGTGGAGAACAGACCATATCAGCAGTTAAATACAAATGGACAGCAAACCATATGAACAATACAAGTGATAAAAAATAGGAAAGAGCAGGTTAGGTACTTATATGAATGATCTTAGCCCTTTCCTATCCATCAGACATTATCAGCAGCAAATGATAGCCATTTGAAACCACAAACATATAGGGATAACAGTAAGAGCAAAGAAAATTCCTTGGAGCATCAAATTGATTGTGCGAGTTGCACAAGAGGTCCAAAATATGTTTGGTCTCTTCTCAAGCAATAGCTTCTTTACTCCCATGTTGTTAGAAGCATTGTCTGTCACTACTTGCACCACATCATCTGGACCAATGTCTTCAATTACTTTGATCACTAGTTCAAATATGACTTCACTTGTGTGTGAAACATCTGACATCTCTTTTGAGCTGACAAAACTGGATCCATCAGCACAGTTAGTGCACAGGTTCATTATGCTTCTCCTCTTCCTATCTGACCAAACATCAGTCATAACAGAGCACCCATTCTTCACCTTCTCTGCCTCACGTTCTTGTAGCAAACTCTTGGTTCTTGCATATTCTTCATCTAGCAAACTCTCTCGCAGATCACGCAGAGATGGAGGTTCAAGTCCAGAACCAAACTATCCAATTGCTTCACACATTTGCTTGAACTCATCATTGTCACAAGCATTGAATGGTATGGCTACATATGATAAAAAAATGTAATTAACTAATTAGTGTATAGTTCAGGCATGTATTCAAATCCGAAATGTAAAACAGAAATGCATAATAGTAAATTACCATGTGTATAAACCCATCTTGCAAATATATTTATCCACCTCATGTGTTCTTTCTTTCCAAAGTTCCTTGTTCAGCTTTTGTTGCTTCAAAGATTCAGATTTTGTTGCTTTAGGATCAATAGCACATGTCTACTTATCAATGGGTCCTAATTTGTGAGGCTCTGAACTTCCAACACAAGTCACTTCATCATCCTCTGTTCCAACCCGAGAAACATTCACTTCTTCTCTAAGCTCTAGTTCACGAGCAGCCTGCTCCTTCCTCTTCCTTTTTGAATCTTCTAGTGATTTCTTGCACTTGTCTTTAGCCTCCTGTGTGCTCTTCCTGCATTTCTTCGCATTTGTTCCAACATTGGCCACATGTTCCTTCAACCGATGGACCCCTCCTTGGCTCCGATGACCACAGAACTTGCACTCCACCTTGTCCTTGTTGTTTGCATCCACCAGAAATCCATACTCCCATCCCACATCATCTGAATTCCTTTTCAGGACATTCACCTCATCCTGAGATGTAACACCAGTTTCAGGAGCACATTCTTCCACCGACATTTTACATGAAGAGCAGTAGAGGCATATTAAACACACACAGGCACACGACAGTATAGCACAGGCGTACAGAGCAGGAAGATAGAAAGGAGCAGCCGAGCAGAGGAGAGAGGAGCAGGGGGTGGGCGGACCTCACTTGGGGTTCCCGAGCGGCGGGGCGAGGGGCAGCGAGGAGCTCACCAGCAATGGTAGCCCGGCGAGGAGGGGGCGCACGGGAGCTCCAGGGGTGGCGGTGGGCCGGTGGACGGGGGCGCACGGGAGCTCCAGGGGTGGCGCGGGGAGGCTTGCATAGAGGGAGAAGATGGCCGGTGATGCGGGAAACGGGTCCACGACATCAAGTAGAAGCTTCGCGCACGACGAATCGCCCGGAGACGTACCGTGGCCGGTGAATCGATCCGGCGAGTGAGCTCGGGTCGGAGGCAAGGGGTCGAGGAGGAGATCTTGACTCTTTGACTTGGTTATCTCTCTGTCTCTCTCTAATCCTCTCTAGCACCAGCACACGGGGCTCTTTTCCTTCCCGTGCGGCCGCTTCCTTTCCCGCACAGACGCCTACTCGCGTGCGCGCTCCCGCCTGCTCCCGCCCGCCAAAACGCGTGCGCTCTCCCGCCCAGGCGTCGCCTCCTCCTCCTATTCGCCGCCCAGGCGCCGCGGAGGCACCGCGGAACGCTGCGGAGGCGCACCTAGCGCCTCGATGTACGCCTCACCCCCTAGGCCCCGCGGGAAGCCTCCGCCTAGCGCCTATGCGAGTGCGGAATCGCGCCTTGTTTTTCATTGTATACAATTATAGAGTGGACCGTTTTCTTGTACCTATAAAATCATTTACATAATTTTAGTTAATTAATATTATCTTGAGTTCCAAAGATATTTTTTAATGTTTCTGGTTGCTGGGTGTAAGATATCCAATTAATTTATCAAGCTATTTATACTATAAAAATAACATATATATGATTTTAATAACAAATTCTAAAACCATGCGGCATATTCTACTAGCAACACGTATATACGTTGCTACATATTCGTTGTTAGTGCTAGCAACGCTTACATACCCCTCTTACCAACACATATATATGTGTTGCAATTGATCCTTGCAACGTCACTTTAAGCAACGCATGTCGGATCCTACCAACACTTATTCATGCTTATAGAAACGCATATATGCGTTGCTAAAGGGGGTGTCCTTTTGAAGTGGTAAATATATGTATCTTTCAACAACCATGGAAAATATTCTCTTAAGTACTCATATATGAATCACCCTAACAACTCATCTATCTCTTCCATGACTCATTTGCTTTTCGGGCACCATAGATGTATATATTCTTTAAGAGAGACAATGCTAGATAACAACTCTTAGCATTTAAAACAAGAGGCTAAGAATGTACATGTTCTTATTGCGTACGCTTATGAAAACGACAACTTGCCCAAGCAACACTTGCTAGGCGTTGTATGGGATGGAAATCCATGACAAGCCATGGACTGTAGTCTGTAGCGAGTAGAGACACAGGATGCATGCATGCACGCGTGTGCATATAGTTTCAGTTTCAACTTTTTCTCTGAAGCGCTTGGTTTCCAACTCCGCAGCACGGCCCGCGAATTGCCAAGAACTTGCACACAGCTCTATGTGAGAGGTACAGATCATTTTCAGGCAATTTGTAGAAGTCAAACCAAACATTGCACGCCACGTGTTCGCTTAGGCCAGCCTCAATGGATAATTTTATGGGGTTATTTCCAAGGCTGCCATATATATGTCACGTGAATGAAATAAAACTTGGATAAAACACACATTTTCAATGCAAAGTTACATCATATAGTTTCATAGGCATTTAATTTCATGACTCATAGAGAGTTGGTAATCGTGCTAAGGGAGTTTCATCTAGAACTCATTTTTCTCTTTTATTAAATACACTGTCATATCATAAAAAATGCACATATGACAATCTATTCAACGCAAATGAAACTTACATGAAACTTCCACTGAGACATGTCTTAAACTCTCTTTGTTTTAGCTTCTGAATGCCTATTTTTAATAAGCTGCTTATACTACTAAAATAAATTGAACTAAGTCATACTATACGCCTTTATGTAGTTTTTTCTGACCACGCTTCTCACACAAATCCTATTTATACTAAAAAATCACAAAAGTTGAGTTATACCTGTTTATTCTGATTGTACTTTTCCTTTATTTATACAACTTCTCATAGTACTTTGCAGAGAAAATATGCCAAATATGGCCTATGTCGGCAAAAAAAAAGGCAGAACGGAAATAAACAGCTACTTTAACCCCCTTCTATAAGGTGGTTTCTAGAAGCCAAAAGATGTGTTTGAACTGAGGTTAGAAGCTGGGTAGGAGAGATTCGCTTGCTTACATGAGATACTATTCTGAGAGGCATTATATATTAATTATATATTTAATTTATCACTTCTCCTATATTTTAGGTGCCTGGATTTTAAGCTAATTTCAGACAACACTCTTATATCACCAACTAATAGAACTAAGAGCATCTTCAAGAGTACCCAATATTTTTTTCCTAAAAACATAAAATTTTACAACTCCTAAAAAATATCGGAAGGAATAAAGGTCATCTCTAAGAGTTTCTAATAATCCACTCCTAAAATATAGAAGACAATTTTACATCAAGAATCATATACTATTTCTAAATTATCCTAACCACTTTTATATATTCTTTCTCTCTGGTACATTTACATCGAAACCATTTTCTACTCTTTATTCTTTTCACGCCCTTCTACCTTTAGATTGGCCGACAAACACGTGCGGGAGAGAGAAGATACGCACGACTCGAAAGAAGCGTAACTTTACGTGGAACATGGTGACTTTTTCCAAGTTCTAAAAGATTAGGAAAATGAATTATGAGTTATTGGATAGAGGATTTTTCTCATCTTGCTAAAAACCAAGGATTAGGAAGGGATTTAGCAAACTCTTGGAGATGCTCTAAATTGTTATTTTTGTGATTTGTTATTTGTGTTTGTGTCATAACATTGAAATGTCCTAATATGGCTAGAGGAGGGTGAATAGCCTATTTAAAAAATCTACAAGATTACTAGAGCAATTTGATTAGTATGACAAACGGTGAAATACAAACTTGCTCTAGCTCTACAAGGGTTGCAAGTCACCTATCCAATAATTCTAGTAGCTATGATCACTATGCACACAAGAGGCTAAGTTGTTACTCACTAAGAGCTCTCAAACTTGCTACACTAAAAAGCTCCACAGATGAACTTAACTAGCAAGCAAAACAAGCTCTCAAAACTAATTACACTAAAGAGCTTGTTACGACTAGTTTACAAGTAAGTAAAGGAGTGAGTGAAAAGCTTATACCGCCATGTAGAGGGATGAACCAATCACAAAATGAATGTCAATACAATCACCGGGAGAATACCAATGGGCAAGAGACAAGCAATTTTTCTTCCCGAGGTTCACGTACTTGCCGACACGTTAGTCCCCATTGTGTCGACCAACACTTGATGGTTCGGTGGCTAAGAGGTGTTGCACGAACCTCATCCACACAATTGGACACCGCAAGAACCTACCCATAAGTGAGACAACTCAAAGACACGAGCAATCCACTAGAGTTTCCTTTTGGCTCTCCATCGAGGAAGGTACAAGCCCCTCACAATCACCGGAACCGGCCACGAACAATCACCAACACGTGTCGAAGCTCCTCCGCTGCTCCAAGCCGTCTCGGTGGTGGCAACCATCAAGAAAAATAAGAAATCCATAGTCACAACGATCCCCAAGTGCCACTAGATACAATAACTCAAGTAAATGCACTTGGAATCACTCTCAATCTCATTATGATGATGAATCAATGAAGGTGATGAGTGTGAGGTGTTTGCTTAGGCTCACAAGTATATATTACAGATGAAAATGTGCAAGAGAGTGAGCCCAAGCCGTCCCCTTTCTATTTATAGAACCCTAAGGACTCAACTAGCCGTTGCCTGTCGGGGGCTTGACCGGACTCACCCCAGCGTCCGGTCAGCCAAAGTTCAGTCGCTCTCGACTGTCCACGTCTCCACGTTCAAACCTCAGCCGTCCATCTCCTACGGTCACTAGCCGATCACTCGCACAGTAAATGTTTGACCGGATGCGCCGCTTGCGCCACCTAACGCAGAAGCCCTTAGCGTCCGATCATTTCCAAAGACGATCCAGAGCGCGAAACTAGTGTCCGGACGCGTTCGTTCTTAGCTGACCTGATGCGTTCCTACGTCCGGTCAGTACTCAGCTACTTCGCGCGCCCCTGCTGAGCTGACGTTAGAGAACGTCACCACCCACCTGACGCTGCCCCTGCGCGTCCGATCGCGCCCAAACGCCAGCACTCAGAATGTGACCAGACGCGCCGGTCGAGCCAGGTCCAGCGTCCGGTCGAACTTCTGCCCTCTCGGCCAACTGCACTGCGCTGCCTATAAATGACTGGATGTGCATGTCCTCCCCGACTACTGCATCCGGTCATGGACTTTCTCTTCCTTTTCTTTTTCTAAGTCCACAACCACTTTGCCCTTACTTTCAACTTGCTAACCACAAAGTGTAGACCTTATGTGCACATGTGTTAATATTTTTTAAAGTATTTTACAAGGGTCAAAGTTAGCACACTAGGTCACACAGTGGCACTCGATAACCGCTTAGCCAAAAAAATTTCCTCTTTATAGTATGGCTATCGATTCTAAATTACTCACACCCTGTATGATGTCTTGAGTGCAAAACAAAAATGGCTCCTATCAATATACATTTGTCTTGAGTCTATTTTTATTTTTCTCTTTCTTCTTTTTCAAATGTGAAGCATTTGATCATCTCATTTGTGGTCATCATCTTCATCATGACCATCATCTAGCTTCACCACTTGGGTTGGACCACCTTATCTAATTCACACACTTAGATTAAAGATTAGTCATAGGTTTCATCAATTATCTAAAACTAAACTGGACCTTTTTTTTGTTCTTGTCTTTCTATAGAAATAATTGTAAATTGTTAATTGTTTTTGTGCCAACAC